TCAAATGGCAACAGCACAAGTGTAAGACGTACCGATCTGTGTGTTTATGCCAAATGCCTGGCTTCAGGGTGCTGGTGCTCCAGAGAGTCTCTGCTGGCTCCTGCATGAGGCAGGCACTGGGGAAGTGATCACAAGTCTCTCTTCTCTGCAGCTCAATTTATCACACTGAGGTTATTTTGGCTGCTTAAGCTGCTGCGGATGGTATCCCTGGATTTTGCATACATCAGGCTTTATGTAGAGTCTATAGGGAAAAAAAGCCCTAAAACCAAACAGTCTAAATTCATGCTCACCTTCCTTACTTGGAAGCGCAGTGGTCAGCGATAGGTGTACTCGCTCTTCCTTTCCTTTTTGACAAACTTGTGTTAGACAGGCACTGGCATTGCTGCAGCATCCAGCAAGGTGAGCAGGGGAAGAAGAGAGTTGCCCTGGAGCAGCTTGCTTGTGTGTGGGCCCCGTGGCACTGGCTGGGGAGGTCCCTGGCAGGCAGCTTCCCTGCCCCACCGGTTTGGGGGACAGTGGCCACCTCCACTGAAACTCCTTGAGGTGATCAGACCAGTGCAGCTGTTGTTGTTTCAGGCTGTGCAGATGTTGGCAGATGGGTTTTTGTCATCACGATGTAACAGTGCACTCTCAGTTTGTGTTTCAAATTACCCTGAACAGTAGGGCAGAAACTGATGGGAGCTCTGGGCTCAGTAATGGAGAACGCTGTTCAGCTGGTGCTGAGCACAGCTGGGACACAGACCCATGCAGTGCATGTGTTTGTGGTTGCTGTGTAGTGCCCAATTCTAGCCCTTAGGATTTGCATTAACTCTGACATGTTACCTTCCGTGTAGGCACGAGTCTACCGAAATAAAATTATTCTGGGAATTAGATGTTTTTAGATGTCAGAGAAAGAAATAATTAACAGTGGGGAAGAAAAATGTGAAAGAAGGACAAGGGAGAAAGGACTAAGGCAATTACTGACCCGAAAATTTACATATCTCAGTTCAGCAAGAAGTTCATTTTCTGTTTATGGATTTGCTGAAATATTTGTAAGATCAGTAAGTTCCAGGTTAAGGCATTTCAGACCCTGTTACTATGCAGGTGACAAGGCAAGTCCTACCGTTTTTGTTTTTGGGTTTTTTTTTTTTTCTTTCCCACTGGAAGAACAAGGATTCTTTTATAATCTCACACAGGATAGTATAAGGAAGCTTTGCTTGCTTCTAGGTTAGTGTGTGGTTAATAGTAAGTTGCAGAACTTAACTGGCAAATCTTACTGATGCAGCAGTCTGAATGCTTCTGATTGCTAAAATTTAAAGGCTGGCATACTGCTCCAGCTGTGGTCAACATTAGCAAAATGAATGGGCTTCACATGCCTGATCTTGTGCTCTCACACTGTATTGGCTGTTAGAATTAAGAGCAGAGATGAAAATCTTAAAGATTCACAGGCAAGAGAAGCGCAACAGACTTCCAGTAATAGTCTGGCAGTAACCATGATTTAAAAGTCAAATAAGCATGTAGCCCCTGAATGAGCAGAAGCACTCCTGAAGTGTAGTTGTTTATCTGAAAATTTCTTCAAATGTCACTATGGAGTTTCTCACTGAATGTTGTAATGGTTTCCAGAACTAGCATTCTTGCTCTGAACAGAGAAAGGAGAGTGAAACAACACTGCCAAATCTGAAAATACAATCTCGAGTCTGAATGAATACAGGGCTGTGGGTTTTTTTCTTCTTCTTTTGCCTAGTGGATGGCCGAAGTTAGAACGTTGCTTGCATCAATGTGGTGTCAGCAATATCCTTGGTGATTCCTGCTCTTATGCATAGTGATTTTTTTGACCAGGTTTAAGCTGTTGAACAGGGTTGGTACACAAGCAAAAGGGAAACAGATAATCTTTCCTTGTGTTGGCTCTTCATAGCTTGTGACAGGAAAAACATAAGGGTTAGAAATTAAGACTCAATACAGAAATGAGGAAGAAGAGATCTTCTTCCGGTGAAATTTCTTCATGATACTCTTCAGGATGTTGGAAGCTTTCAAAAGCAGTGTTATGTTTCTCCATCACCTGATAACCCATTTTGAACAACTGACAATTAAAATATGCAGTAGAGTACATCATCGCTTCTAGGAAATGAGGTCCAGAAAGACTGGAAAGCATCTCTGGGTTGTACATGTGTGTATGTGTTCACACGGCGCAGCTCCCTCCCGTACAGGCTGTGCTGTTCCATCTGTGGAGGGAAATAGCAGACAAATGTTCTCCTTGCTGACCCAGTAGGCAAGCACAAATGTAGCTGATATGAGAGCAGAAAAAAGCAAGGTTTCCTAATGGGGTAATGGCATAATGGTAT